CAATTTTTGATCAAAGTAATATTACAGCGACCAAAGACTCATTATGTTTGGTGATTTTAACTAAACCATTGTAGACAAAGCCATTGTGTTTTGCTAGTTTAAAAGGCTGCTTCACAGAGAGCGCTCGTGTTGCCATGTCCACTTATTATAAGCAATGATTATTAAGCGGTTTTGGGTTGTTGTTTGGGCTCGACTCATAAAGCGATCCAGTTTATGGAGTTATTAAAGTATGCAGGTGCAGGTCAGGATATTTTGGCTTGTTTCTAAGATAAAGAGTTTGGTTTATTATGGCCTTGTTCTTATTTGTTGTTGTTTTTTTCTGGCAAGATCTGGCAACACTAATGAGTCAAAACAACGTGTTCCTTGTGATTTTTTGCACAGCACATACAGAATACAGTTCTGATACATGTATAAATACGTCATTAATAACTAGTTGTTCAGCTCTGTACACACTACGAAGAATTTCTGTGAAAGCGGTTGTCACTACATGACCTGTAGTTTTCAAGGTTGTAGAATGTGGTTGATTAAGCATGATTAAGCATGAAAAGGTGAACTGAGAGGTTGCATGTTTTTTTTTTTTTTTATCCCAAACCTTAAGTATGAACAATAGTTATAGTGGCATTTGCATTGGCAAACACGGCTAATAACAGCTGCACGCTGCACTGACACGTTATTCTAAGACACAGTCTTAAATAATAATACCATGTTTAATGCAAAGTATATATTTTGTTGTACAAGCCTGCCGTTATAGTGATGTAGTATCAGGCAGACAAATGACATCTATCTCCACTCCTCTTCTCTCAGCTGTATTTCTGTCAGTTTGATAGCTACTCTTTCGGTTAGCCACTTTTCCTCCCTGTCCAGTTTTTCCAGTTTCCGTTTACTCTTTCTCTCTTTCTGTTTCTGACTCACTTTTACTGTTTCCCTCCAGTCTAAACAAACGTGCAAGAAATGTGTATTTCCCCCCTTGTATCCTTTGATACGATCATGCTAGCATTTAATGCAGTCATCATCTGCTAATGGCCTAAATTATTCCAACTCAACATAATTCTTTTCACATCTAACCTCCATCTCAAGTTGATGTCAGCTGCATTTACTTGTGTTGGCCATCATCCTGGGTGTGCAGCAGTGTAAATTACAGCGCCTCATGGCAGACGAAATACACGCCGTATTTCACTATTCATCTATTTTTATTTGTTATGCTAATTGAGCCGTTTAAATGCTTAAGTTACTCCAGCAATGTGTTTCCGCATACCATGGATGATGTTGTTATAGTAAAGCCAATTTTCAAGTTTGCCAACAATCTCTTCTGTATGTGTGTTTTCCAATTCGCCCGGAGATCGAGTCACGATTGCACTAGCGTTTTGGCCTCGTTTTTTGCCGCATATTTATAAATATCCTTGAGAAGATCCAGATGGCCATCAGGGCGGGCTTTGCAAGTTCACCCATTTCATGTTGACAGTACTGTAACAGTTGTGCCGTACCCACTTCCTTTACTCTGTTTAAAGGGTTAGCACACCCCAAAATGAAAATGCTGTCATTAATTACTCACCCTCATGTCGTTCTAAACCCGTAAGACCTCCGTTCATCTTCGGAACACAAATTAAGATATTTTTGATGAATTCTGAGAGCTCTCTGACCCTCCCATAGACAGCAATGTAATTACCACGATCAAGGTCCAGAAACGTAGCAAGGAGATCGGTAAAATAATCCATGTGACATCAGGGATTCAACCATAATTTTACGAAGCTACGAGAATACTTTTTGTAAGCAAAGAAAACAAAAATAATGACTTTATTCAACAATTCATCTCCTCTGCGTACGCTGTTTACATTCAGTGGATATTCTCCAAAATGGCACCAGGGTGACGCGGAGGAGACGAATTGTTGAATAAAGTAGTTATTTTTGTTTTCTTTGCTTACAAAAAGTATTCTCGCAGCTTCATAATATTACGGTTGAACCCCTGATGTCACATGGATTATTTTACCGATCTCCTTGCTACGTTTCTGGACCTTGATCGTGGTAGTACCCTTGCTGTCTATGGGAGGGTCAGAGAGCTCTCAGAATTCATCAAAAATATCTTAATTTGTGTTCCGAAGATGAACGGAGGTCTTACGGGTTTAGAACGACATGAGGGAGAGTAATTAATGACAGAATTTTCATTTTGGGGTGAGCTAACCCTTTAAGTTAACTTCTTGAATATTCCATACAGTGGGCTTAAACAGCTCACCCTTTTACAGCAGATTTAGTTCACAAACAACTGACAGTCATGACCTAAATACGATTTTCATTTATAATAAATCTTAAAATTTGGCATTGGTAACTTTTCGCACCATCAGTCATGCTCAAGCTCCGAGGATCTCCTGTTCTCGGCTCATTTTGAGTAAGATGTGTGAATTCGCTGAATTGTTGAATGACAGAATTTTCATTTTGGGGTGAGCTAACCCTTTAAGTTAACTTCTTGAATATTCAAGCAGGCTGTTATGTTACAGCTGAGTGAATTGAAGTCAGCAGCATAAGCAGGAAAGTCATTTACCTCATGTTGGATTGTGTCCATATACTGCATTATTCTAATGAAGAGGACTTGTGCATCTATTAGTGTGTGTGTGTGTGTTGCATACTGTATATATTGTGGTGTTAAATGAAGTGTAAAAGCTTACTTTAAAGTTGGGTGTGGTTATAGGTTGCACCACACCCAACTGTCTGTCTTTCCTAAGAAACCCTGCACAATCCCCTCAGACAAAAAAAATAAATTTACTGATCTGTTTTAATTATCTGAAGAAAATGTGAGTGCATGGTGCAAAACTCATCAACACAAGGCTGGGGTGTTCTGAGAGATTGATATGATGTTTTTGGTGGCTGATCAGTGGTTGCTAAGGTTTTCAGAGGTGGGATTTTGAACTTAAGGGTGATTACTGTAAATCAGATCACTTAGAAAAGTAATATCACATCTCTCCTCAGTTAGACACGTGATTTGAGGTATCATTCATGTCTGTATCACTGATTTAATGTAACAAATATTTGTTTTCTTCTTGCACCTCCTCTAATAGGCAGTGTGAATTTATGTGTTTTTAATGGGATCACATTTGAAACTGTGTTTGTTTAGGAATGTGACAATGTTTCTGTATGTTTGGGAATGTGACAAACAACATTTAAGACCCAATTGCTGATGTTTGTAATAATTCTTCTTGAGTATAGTTCCTCACAGTGGTGGACGAAGTACACAAATCAATTACTTGAGTAAAAGTGCAGGTGCCCTAATAAAATATTACTCCACTAAAAGTACTCCTTTTCAATTTTACTCAAGTAAAAGTACAAAAGTATTTGGTTTTTATTGCACTTAAGTATCAAATGTAAAAAATTACTTATCAATGAATGTTTATTTTGTAATTTTAACTTATTTTATATTTTATACAATCCTACTGGTCAAAATACTTGAGGGAGGGGGGCTTGTCATACACTAACAAAATATATGAAATATATTAAAAGTATATTTAAATATATTAACATTTAGGTTACTGAAACATCATGTGTGCAAACAAGTAGGAAAAAAACAAAGCAAAACAAAATACCCCAGTATTTAAAAATGAGGAAAAATGTGTGTTGGCAAACAATATGCTGTAAAAACAGACATCACATAGGGAAAAATGTCTGTAATTTTAAGAGGAACACTATGCAAACATACTAGTTTGAAACTCATTTGATACTGCTTCAGCAGGGGAAGATGCATAGGCATTCATTTGAGTTATTTTAATGTTATGTTTCATTTTTACCTAAAAACTACTCCATTGAGAGGGTGATACACACATGTGGAAATGTCAGGATACAATCATTTCATACAGTGGGCTTAAACAGCTCACCCTTTTACAGCAGATTTAGTTCACAAACAACTGACAGTCATGACCTAAATACGATTTTCATTTATAATAAATCTTAAAATTTGGCATTGGTAACTTTTCGCACCATCAGTCATGCTCAAGCTCCGAGGATCTCCTGTTCTCGGCTCATTTTGAGTAAGATGTGTGAATTCGCTGAATTGTTGACTGGAAACTTGCTCTGACCGGATCATGTGAATCAGTGAGTTGTTTACTGGAGACTCGCTCTGACCGGATCATTTGAATCAGTGAATTGTTTACTGGAGACTCGCTCTGACCGGGTCATGTGAATCAGTGAGTTGTTTACTGGAGACTCACTTTGACCGGATCATTTGAATCAGTGAGTTGTTTACTGGAGACTCATTCTGACCGGATCATGTGAATCAGTGGGTTGTTTACTGGAGACTCACTCTGACCGGATCATGTGAATCAGTGAGTTATTTACTGGAGACTCGCTCTGACCGGATCATTTGAATCAGTGAGTTATTTACTGGAAACTTGCTCTGACCGGATCATGTGAATCAGTGAGTTATTTACTGGAGACTCGCTTTGACCGGATCATTTGAATCAGTGAGTTATTTACTGGAAACTTGCTCTGACCGGATCATGTGAATCAGTGAGTTATTTACTATAGACTCGCTCCGACCGGATCATGTGAATCAGTGAGTTATTTACTGGAGACTCGTTCTGACCGGGTCATGTGAATCAGTGAGTTGTTTACTGGAGACTCGCTCTGACCGGATCATGTGAATCAGTGAGTTGTTGACTCAAGAACAGTTGCAATCCGTTCAGTCCAATTTGAGAATGAATTGTTCAGTGTGATTTGCGAACCGATTTAACAGGTACATTGAAAAGGATCAGCTCGTTCATGAATCGGACACCGCTATTTAATCTCAGAGCAGGTGATGATTTCTCCAGTTCAAAATAACGAGGATTTTTTAAGAAATGTAGTGGGGTAGAAAGTACAATATTATGCTTTGAAATGTAGTGAAGTAAAAGTTTATCATAATAAAAATACTAATAAAGTACAGAAATGTACCTAAATACAGTAACAAAGTAAGAATACTTCATTACTGTCCACCACAGGTTACTCATGTCTGATTGTGTTTATTTTTATATCTGCAGTTCCAAAGAACGATCAGCGAGTCGTGGACAAAGCCAAAATGGCAGTGAAAACATCAGGCTTACAGCGCTCCAGTTCGGATACAGGGAAAGATCGTGGTGAGCACCGAAAACCCCCTTCCGGTCTTGTCCGTCCCTCCGCCAGCACGGTTAATTCCTTCGGTTACAAGAAATCCATTCCAACTACCGGCACTGCCACTGTACTAACAAATAGTGGAAGCACCATCTCCGGAGACTCTCCTATTGTGAACAAAACTCCTAAAACCTCTGGTATCCCAGTGAAACCCTCTGCCGGTGGGGTAGGTGGAGGACGAAAGACCAGTCTTGATGTGTCGAACTGTGATCAAAGTTTCATGGCTCAGAACGCACGCAACAACATCCAGTATCGTAGTCTCCCGAGACCTGCTAAGTCCAGCACCTTGAGTCTGACGGGAGGACGGCCGGGCGTTCGTCCCTTCAGCAGCAACATGGAGGCTGGTCTGCAGGGCCTAAAAACAGTCCCCACCCCGTCTAGACTGAAGGAACCAGGCAGTGTGAAGAGCTCCCATCGGGCCAGTACAGGAGGGTGCACTCCAGTCAACCAGACGGACCGTGAGAAGGAGAAGGCCAAAGCCAAGGCAGTGGCGTCTGATTCTGAGTGTGGTGGAGGCGGCCTGCTAAAGAACGGCACATTGACACCAACACAAAGCACGCTGGAGCCTCCTTCCAAACTACTGGGACTTCGGCTGCCATCCAGCGTGGGCAAATATTCAGAGCTGCCCTCTCCCAACTCTCAGAGGTGAGATGAACCTCCTCCACATAGCTGTTTATTAAACCTCACATCTGCTCTGAGTGGCTGTGGTTTTTCACGTTCACACAGTTTTCTTTCAAAAAAAATTAATAAATAACAGAAAAATTACTTGAAATTGACTAGAAATCTTGCAAAATGACACCTTTTCAGTTTCATCTATGCTAAAACATTTATTCACTGTCCTGAAATAAGGTTCTTAACATGGTTTTTAATTTTGGTATGTGTGGATGCATAATGTGCAGATTTTTTAAATTGTGTTTTTGAAATAGTTAACATAAATGGCATAAATAAAAACACTTACACTGACAAGCTACGCAGTATTGCGTTCATAATCAAATGCGACTCATCTGCTGGCGTTTGTCGCGGTTTGGAAAGAAAGGGAGAAAACATGACAGAATAACTCGGCGGGTATCACATTTTGCGTAAAATTAAAAATTGACCAGATACAATACTGATTTTGGCGGAAACTAAATTTAAAAAAAAATGGCGTTTATCGCGTTTTGGAACCAAACTCTTCATATATATATATATATGTATATATATGATACTGAAATAGTACTGACTTGTAATAATAATTTTAATGTTATAATAATTTGAGATCATAATTCTGAATTCTGGACTAATTGATTTTTTATACTGTAACTTAATTTATTTTATATTAATTAATTATTTAAACTGTAAGTATGTTGCTGTGGTAGAGGTGTGCACTCATGTCACGTTTCCATGATAACCATTGATTTAATCAATAGAATGTAACCAGCAAATTATATAACAAGCATATTATTGAAAAATATTGTAGTTTAATGTTGTTGATGTGATAATAGTAGTGATATGTTTAAAGTTCTTAGAAACACTTTTAACACTTTTTAGATGGGAAACTAAAAAAAAATTATAATAATTTTAGCCACTCTTAAACATTAGCAAAATACCTCTTTAATTACAATCAAACGTTGAAAGGTGTACATTTTTTGTACATTAGGAATCAGCCATATGTATTTTTCATTTCTGTTGTGCGAGTTATTTGTGCATCTGGTTTTGAACTCATCTCTGTATCATGGCATTCACAGGCCCTCCAGTGCCAGATCTCTGCCCAAACCTGCTCACCTGGACAAGGTCAACTCCAACAGCCTGGACTTTGGGATAATCAGAGTGGAGGACCAGCTTCCTCCAAAAGTGCCGCCCTTCTCCAAATTACAAGATCTGTCAGGAATTAGCAGCACAAGCTGTCTGACACCCAGTCCGGCTCCCATCCTCAACGTCAACTCCTCTGAGTGTTTCTCCAGCGCCACCGTGGGCCGAGGGGGCAGCACTGGCGGCTCTCCCTCGCTCTACCCCCGCCTCTCTGGGCTGCACCGTAGCATGGAGTCCTTGTCACTACAGATGAGCGTGTCTCCTGCAGGGGGCAGCATGACGGAGCACAGGCCCAGACATGAGGACAGAGGGACGGATGGTGGCTGGTCGACAGGAAGCAGAGCCTCACTCACGCTCACGACAGACAGGTGAGGCCGTCTCTCCAGTCATCACTGCACTTCCTGTCTGTGCTCACCTGATAACATGAGCTATGCTAGTCTACTTCTAAACACACTAAAAATTTGCTTATATACACATTTGAGATTTGAAGGAAGATGGACTGAACATTTTAATGTATCATGTTCTACTCAGTGTTGTAATCAAATTTTTGGTCAAAATCAGATCTCCCCCATCATGCTTGATAATTAACATAATATATTTTTATGTTTTTTTTTATTTTATATTATATTATATTATATTATATTATATTATATCACTTTGTTTTAGAAGGGAAAATAAAAATCTAGGAACTGGAAATTAATTACATTTCCTTATTAAAAGTTAGAAAAATGTCTTGATTTAATTATGATAAAAAGTTTCATAAAAAGTTTTATAATCTGTCCTTTAAAACTAAAATAATTGTAAACATTTTTTATTAAGATTCATCCATATATATTTTTATTTTTGTATTATGTCATATTTATAATAGCATTCATCTTGCTTGTTTATGATTTTTTTGTTGCATGTCTCATATCATATCATATCATATCATAATCATATATCATACCATATCAAATATCATATCAAATATCATATCATATCAAATATCATATCAAATATCATATCATATCATATCATATCATATCATATCATATCATATCATATCATATCATATCATATCATATCATATCATATCATATCATATCATATCATATCATATCATATCATATCATATCATATCATAATATCAAATATCATATCATATCATATCATATCATATCATATCATAATCATATATCATACCATATCAAATATCATATCATATATCATACCATATCAAATATCATATCAAATATCATATCATATCATATCAAATATCATATCATATCATATCATGAACCAAAAATTAGAAACAAACCAAATGATGTCTTTCATGAATTCATCTACATCACAAGAATACAAAAAAAAAAAAAAAAA